AAGGTCCAAGAGCATGTGAGCTGACATGCTGTAATCTCGTGGTGTACCCGGAACGAGAATTACCCAATGCTTTTGTATGGCGTCTTCTTCTTCTTTGGGTCAAGGCCAAAAGTCGGCATTGGTCCAAAAGTGAGTCTTGGTCCAACACTATGTATGTCACATAAGTTTCAACGGTTTCAATACGTTCGTCAATATTTATAGTCTATGGGTGCCACTTGTGAAAGCCAGATCTGTCAGACCTCTGAAGCTAAGCAGGGCAGGGGCTTGTTAGAACTCTGGTTAGTAGAACACCAGGTGTCACAGTGGGCAGCTACGGCTGTAAAGTACACTGTTGTTGTGTCTTTAGGCAAGACACTTTACCCAAAGGTGGGAGGGGCGGATTTCCTTTGACTCAATCACATTTAGAGATATTCTGAAAAGGCATTTTGCTGGACTGAATGAGGGCACAGATTTATTTTCTTTTATTTATCTTTATTTACCCAATACAGAGATTTTATACAAACGAAATATTTAATAATGAGCCACAGGGGTCAGAGATTATCATATATAGTGGATAAAATCAAAAGAATGGATAACATAAGTAACGTGGAAATATAAACGTACATACATCTTGTCAGCCTCAGCTTTACAGAGACTTTCTTCTCCTGGGACGGCACTTAGATGTTGCTGCTTTGATTATTGTTCAGTGTTACTGTAGCACTTGAGAGAAGCTGACCTTGCTGTAATAGTATAGTATATTCCTCACTGGACAGAAGGACTCTGCAGCCAACTCCCTTGTGGCCAATAGTCCACATCGACTTTGAGATTGGTTGTTCGACTCCAGACCTGATCCCAAGCCATTTCATAGTATTTTGGAGTCCCTGATGTGTCTTTATCGATGTGGAAGGTGGCTCCTGGCGTCTGATCAATTCTTCTGCTGGAGATCATGGTGCTGTGGGGCACAAAGAAATCAGTAGAGGTGCAAAGTGCTCCTTGCCTCCAACTCCAACTATAACACCCATTTCCTTGTGGCACAGTGCAGCAGAGCCGATCTCCATTCAAGTTTGTGCCTCCTAATTGCCTCATTTTAGAAAATTGAGCAATCCAGGCCTATTTCCCTGCTACGTTACCATTGATGTTTGAGACAGGAGTCCATGGAGAAATGCGAAGGCTGAAATTTGTATCGTCATTTTATCTTTTACCAATGAGCCAATGTGTCTATCACACTTTGTCTACGTACTTATTTACGTGGTTATAGGACATTTGGTAATTTATAATATCCTACAGGAATGAATTTTTCTTGAGGTATTACAGGGTAAGAAAAACAAGCAAACAGTGGATTTGATTATGACAGTTTTACAAGCAGAAGAAGAAGGCCAGGAAAAACTTTAACACTTGTTCAAAATACAAATGTAGACCCATTTTAAATGATGATTTTCTGATGCTGTTTAACCATTCGGCTTTTGTATGAAAGATGTTTTGATTTCTGTCTTTAAGTCCTTCTGCGTTATGTTGAAATGAACTAAAATCTGAGTTTATTCCCTCTGACCAAACCTTAGTCCACCCAAAGAGAGAGATATATCGTCTTACACATCCACCCTTCTTAGACCCAAAGGCGTTGTTCTTCATTTTGTTTTCTCCTCATTGACTGATGTGAGTGTGAGTTGTTATAGATCTCCATGTTATTTGTGGTCAAATCCTCAAAAACCTTTGCATGAATCCAGTATTGTTCCCTGACCAAAGAGGAGGATGCTGGGATAAAGATCTGAGGGGCAGGCCATGCTCAAAGTGCCAGCGTGGGGAGAATTTGATACCGATTCAGGGCTACTGCACAGTGGAGGAAATATCGGGGGCTTAGGGACCTGACAGAGACATAATTCAATATAGCCACAGGAAGTCAAAGAAATCACACACAAAGTCATGTGGAGTAGCCATAAGCTGCTCCGACCCGCCGCCATGACCCAAAGCCAAACCACTGTATGTAGAATATTGGTGTTATTCAAGAAATAGACACCAACGTAATGCTTCTACATATCACATAACTTCGATGAATGATCTGACATGGCGTCTCACAGAGTTTGTGTCATTATGGTTTATGTCGTTTTTTTAATGTGTCACATTTCTCTGATCTTCACGTGACACAAACACTGAGCCTCTGATGGTGGAGGGAGGACTCCACTCAATCACTTTTCTATAGCACATTAATGTCTCACAGCGTTCCCTGACACTTGAAAGTACAGTCCTGACCTTTCAACTGTGTTCTAATTACATTCATGTCCTGGCAGCAGCCTCAGAACCAGACCCAAGGCCTTTCTGAAGTCCGAGCTGGTCCCAGCCGCCTGTCACCTGGAGCTTGGCTGCAGGGTCCTGTCCCGCCGAGGGCCCACTGTGGGAATGGCCTTCTTTATACAAAGGCATCTGGCCTCTTTGACGTGTCAGCCATTTTGGCTCTGATAACTGTCTGTTTCACCCCGATGGTGTCAGAGTGATGGTCAGTAACCAGCCCACAGCCCGCTCATGGTCTCAGCGTGAGCGTTTCCAAACGCTGCATGTCTGTCACGGACAGTGCTTTGTGGATCCAGCCTTTATGCCAAACCAAAGGCTTCCTCTGCAACGCTTCACTGCACTCACTTCTCTATAATCTCAGGGGACTTTGTCATCGCAATGAACAGTTGAAAGAAAAGAAAACAGCTGGATCCAGCATCGTGCACGTTTTAATACATGTTTTATCACTTTAATACCGCGACTTGTTATTTTTTGATAAAAAGAAAATGCAAATGTGAGACTCCATACACTTTCTTTCAGTGCAAATTCAGATCTATGCAAATGTTTCTCTTTTGTGAGATCAATAAAGTTGATCTTATCTTATCTTTGCAGCAACAGGCGGCTCTCTCTTCTCTTACATGTTGGTTTACTCATATATTGTACCAGGAAGAAACAAACATAAAACTGTATTCTCCTTCCTATGTATTGATGCTGTCTTATTATTATAATTAATTTTAAATAAAGATGGTGGACCTCTGACCCCCATTACTCACACACCAGACTGTGACGAGCAGATACAGCAACATATTTCACTTTTTTCTTTTAGTTGTGAGAAAACCCTGTTAAGTTGATCCATTGCTGAGAGTTGAAATGAGACGGAGGGAGAAGGAATCCAAAGTGTATTATTCCCTCTGCAAAGAAAACCTTTGCTGTCCTTTGTTGCCTTGTCTCTTCTATCGGGTCTGTGAGGTCAGGGCTCTCTCTGCCCTACCTTCACAGTCTGATATTCATTACATCTTAAAGTACATTTCTTCTGCAATGTTCTGCTACAATGACAAAGAAAAATGGATTCTCATCTAATTAATCAGACATGTAATTACTTGAATTTGTTCAGAGTCAAGCCTCATCACCGCTGCTCTCGAAGCAAAAACTGACACAATGCAATTCTTCTTACTATAGAAAGAGCATGTACATATAAACCACTGCAGGATCCACTCAGAGTAAAACATGTACGAAGTCTGTGGGTATAACATGTGCAGCAGTCTGTGGGTAAAACATGTGTAGCAGTCTATGGATATAACATGTGCAGCAGTCTGTGGTATAACATGTGCAGCAGTCTGTGGGTATAACATGTGCAGCAGTCTGCGGGTATAGCATGTAGTCTGTGAGTATAACATGTGTAGCAGTCTGTAGGTATAACATGTGCAGCAGTCTGAGGGTATAACATGTAGTCTGTAGGTATAACATGTGTAGCAGTCTGTGGGTATAACATGTGCAGCAGTCTGAGGGTATAGCATGTAGTCTGTGGGAATAACATGTGTAGCAGTCTATGGGTATAACATGTAGTCTGTGGGTATAACATGTGCAGCAGTCTGTGGGTATAACATGTAGTCTGTGGGTATAACATATGCAGCAGTCTATGGGTATAATATATGCAGCAGTCTGTGGGTACAGTATAACATGTGCAGCAGTCTGTGGGTAAAACATGTGCAGCAGTCTGTGGGTATAACATTTGCAACAGTCTGTGGGTATAACATGTGCAGCAGTCTGAGGGTATAGCATGTAGTCTGTGGGTATAACATGTGTGGCAGTCTGTGGGTATAACATGTTTAGCTGTCTGTAGGTATAACATGTGGTCTGTGGGTATAACATGTGCATTAGTCTGAGGGTATAACATGTAGTCTGTGGGTATAACATGTGCAATAGTCTGTGGGTATAACATGTGCAGCAGTCTGTGGGTATACCATTTGCAGCAGTCTGTGGGTATAACATGTGCAGCAGTCTGTGGGTATAACATGTGCAGCAGTCTGTGGGTATACTATTTGCAGTTGTCTGTGGGTATAACATGTGCAGTTGTCTGTGGGTATAACATGTGCAGCAGTCTGTGGGCCTTGTCAGGTCATGCTGAGAAGACGAGCTGGACTTATGACGTGTGGGAGATAGAGTTACAAACGTTTATATGAAAGGAGGCCAGCTGCTCAGACATTTGTATTTGCCATTCCATATCAAGAAGATCGTTAGATGTAGACGCTGAAAGAACTAAACTTTTAGTAATTTGGATTAAATCAAGAATTTATTTTCAGATTTTTATCAGTTATCGGTGACAAACAAGTATCAGTTCAAGCAGAAGTCTCAAACCGTTTTCACCAAGACAAAAAAACAGAACTTTAACAGTCCTGGGAAATATTATGTGATATAAATGTGAGATGGAGCCTGTGATCAGGTCTTAGTTTTATCATTACTCATTATTTATCACATATTCATGACTTTTGCACATAGTAAAACAAATGATATTAATGAGTAATAGTTATTAATTTGTAAATCCTTTGGACACAAGTTGGATACTCCTGCGGTAGAGCACGTGTCAAACTGATATATATATATTTTTATTATTTTATTTTATATTTTAAGGTCAAACATTCAAGATGTCACATTTAATATACAATACAGCAATACATTCACAGAGGCACAAGTTTGGGTTTGGCGTGTCTGAGTATCAGTGGAAAAATCTACCATTGTGCATCACTGTTTATTCCATGTTTCGCTTCGGTCTGCACTGTGGAGGAGGAGGAGAGTCATGGAAGAAGGGGGGGGGGGGGGGGGGGGGGGGGGTTATGGAGGGGGGAGACCAACACCTGCCTTGTAACTGGCCCTGGACACTCCTTGGCTCGGTGCCACTGCAGGTTAGCCTGTTTGCTAATCTCTTCATACGGTGGATATAATTAGGACTGAACGGTCGGAGGCGCTGGGGCCTGTGGGGGACACAGTTGTTCTTCTTCATCGTCAGTGTTTTGCTTCTTCATCAAAGATAATCAGAGGCACTGAACCAATCAGACGGTATTACACGCAGAGGCACTGAACCAATCAGACGACAAGACACACAGAGGCAGTCACAGAGTTTATATGTAGTACACTGACTCAGGTACTTGTATCACACTGACTCAGGTACTTTTGATAAATATGTATGTATTACTCTTGACACAAATATACACTGCTCACAAAAACTTAGGGCACACTCAAAAAACAAAATGTAACTCCAAGTCAGTCGAATTTCTGGGATATCAGACTGTCCAGTTAGGAAGCCACACTTATTGTGAATCAAGTTCATCTGATGTTGTGGATATTAAACAGACAACAGGTGGATATGAGAGGCAATTAGCAAGATCACTCCAAAAGAGGAATGGTTTTTTCATTACCATTTCCCTGTCTTCATCCTTTGTACTGTATTTTTTGAACACTTTTGCATTGTCCAGTGTTCTCACCACTAGAGGTATCATGAGGAGGTATCTACAACCCACAGAAGTTGCTCAGGGAGTGATGCTCATCCAAAATGGCACGTCCATTCGTGATGTTGCAAGAAGGTTTGCTGTGTCTCCCAGCGCAGTGTCCAGAGCATGGAGGAGATACTAGGAGACAGGCCAGTACACCAGGAGACCTGGGGGGGGCAACCAAGGTCAACAACCCAGCAGCAGGACCGCTATCTGCTCAAATGTGCACACATAAACAGAAGAAGCACTGCCCAAGCCCTACAAAGTGACCTCCAGAGGGCCAAAAATGTGCATGTTGGTACTCAAATGGTCAGAAACCGACTCCAAGAGGGTGGTATGAGGGCCTGACGTCCACAAGTTGGGTCGGTGCTTACTGCCCAACACCGTGCAGCCCGATTGCATGATGAAGGTATCGATGTTTTGGACTGGCCATTCCCCAGACTTAAATCCAATAGAGCAGATCTGAAACATCATGTCTCGGTCCATCCATCAACGCCGCGTCGCACCACAGACTGTCCAGGAGCTGACAGTCAGGGAGCTGGATATCCCTCAGGAGGACATCCGTGGTCTCATCAGGAGCATGCCCAGGAAAGATATAAACTTCTAACTAACTCCTATAAACTAAAATAGATAAATAAAAACCTAAATAAAATGTGTCTAAAAACATAAATACATTTACCAAAACGCAATAATAAATACTAGTCAAAAGCGTGTGTCTTGAGCCTACTTTAAAAAATTCGAGTGTTCTCTGCGGCCCTAGAGAACATATAAACTCCACAGATAGAGGCCTGGATCCACTCGGCCAAAAACACATTTGTCTCCAGTTAAAAAACCACAAGAATTATCAACACGGTTTACGCTGAAGACCTGCTGCTGCTGCCAAAAATGATTGTTCGTCTTCATTCAGTTCTTGCGTCCAACATTCAGTGGTTTTGAGAAGAGCGAAGGAAAAAACTGGATTAAGAACAAAAAGATAATGATAAAAATAATACATGGTACTTATATAGCGCTTTTTTCGGACACTCAAAGACGCTTTACAGAAGAATAATAAGAAACAAAAAATAAAAGCTAAAAATAAACAGTTAAGTGTAGGCAGTTTTGAATAGGTGGGTTTTGAGAAGTGATTTGAAGTTCTGTAGTGAGTCAGAGTTCCTAATGTGTGGTGGGGGTGAGTTCCAGAGAGTGTGGGCAGCTGCAGCAAAGGCTCGGTCCCCCAAGGTTCGGCACTTTGTTCTAATGGAGTGAGGAGGTTGTAGTCTGTGGATCTGAGGCGGCGGGAGGGACAGTGATGATGGAGGAGGTCAGTGAGGTATGAAGGAGCAGGTTATGGAGGGACTTGTAGGTGAGGAGAAGGACCTTGTATTTTATGCGGTAAGGAACAGGGAGCCAGTGGAGTTGTTTGAGGACAAGGGTGATATGGTCTTTGAAAAAGGATCCGTGTTTGCTGCTGGGAAACACTTTGACACTGGCAGAGACTAAAGCAAAGTTTCTTTGCTTCTGCTGGATCCACACAGCGCCCTCAGCCTCTTCTTCTGCTCCTCCAGATCTCTCTCCTCACTCTTCTCTTTCTCGGTCTGTCCTGTATCATGCTTACCTTTGGATCTAGATCCTCACCTTTTGGGTCTGGATCCTCGCCTTTGGGTCTGGATCCTCGCATTTGGGTCTGGATCCTCACCTTTGGGTCTGGATCCTCGGCTTTGGGTCTGGATCCTTGGCTTTGGGTCTGGATCCTCACCTTTTGGGTCTGGATCCTCACCTTTTGGGTCTGGATCCTCGCCTTTGGGTCTGGATCCTCACCTTTGGGTCTGGATCCTCACCTTTGGGTCTGGATTCTGGCCTTTGGGTCTGGATCCTTGCCTTTGGGTCTGGATCCTCACCTTTGGGTCTGGATCCTCAACTTTGGGTCTGGATTCTGGCCTTTGGGTCTGGATCCTCGCCTTTGGGTCTGGATCCTCGCCTTTGGGTCTGGATCCTCACCTTTGGGTCTGGATCCTCACCTTTGGGTCTGGATTCTGGCCTTTGGGTCTGGATCCTCACCTTTGGATCCTCCTTCAGTAGTCCTGGGTAATATTAGGTGATATAAAGGTGAGCTGGAGCCCGTGATCATGTCTTAGTTTTATCATCATTATTTATCACCACATACAGTATTCATGACTTGTGTAAGTAATCCTTTCTGAAATATTCCGTATATTATTTAATTTGTTCATTTGTACGATATTAAATGTGTACAATGGTGTGGTGAGGCCAGGGTAGGGCAGCTCTGTAGTAAATACTGACCATAATACATTTACATGGCAGGTAAGTTTTATGTTATAAGTGTGGTTTATGGTCTGAAAACAACCGGGATGTGGTTATTTGTTGATAGTAGTATATTTTTCGAGCTGGTCTTCATGAATGGGTGATTTTCTTCCAATAACCAGAGCCGTATACCAAGTAGGCGGGACCTCACAACTTCATTTGAGTCTGAAAATGTTGCTTGTGGATTGTGAATAACCCGTATGTCATGTACTGCATTCTAATGCAATTGTCCTGTAATGGCCCCATGGTCCTCTGGCAGCGCAGACAATCAGGACAGAGCCAGACTGAGCCTAAATGTAATTAGGGACTCGCTGGTCACTGATTCAGATTAAAGCCAATCCCATGCATTTATTGTAAGCCTCAGCATTTCTATTAATGAAAGAAAAACACTCTTTGCATCACCCATAATAGATTTTCTTCCACTTTACGTCTTTTGATTAAATTTATGGGTAATATAATTCTTAATCTGTGAGACTTTCCATTTCAGACCCTTTTGAAGTCAAATAGATCGATAAAAGTGGGAATGTTGGAGCCCGAGCATTGATTGCATATTATACATAAATGTAGAAATGGGATTTGAATACAACACAAATCAGAAATCTAACCCACATCTTCATGACCATTGACAGCTCCAATGAATCGTAAATTGGGCCTTCAACACAAATCAATAGGTTTGGTTAGACGTGTGATGGTTTGTTTGCCTTTCTAAGATAGTGTATGACCCACTCTACAGTCTGTGATCTGAAATCTGCATCTTACTGTAGATATGTTTTTGTTCTGCCTTTAATGTCTCTCGGTTTGGTATAAAACATGTACAATCCACAATTGGAGGATTATAGTTCTTTGAAAAACCTGTTTTCTCCCAGTGTGGTCCTGCCTCCAAAAGTTCCATGAGCTTGTGCGTTATCATGCTGCAATCTCACTCCCCCTGGTCGGGGTGTACCTGGAAAGAGAATTATCCTATGCTTTTGTATGGCGTCTTCTGAGCTCTGCAAAACGTCTTTACAGGATGGTCCAAATTTGGCTCTTGGTCCAAAGCTATACTTTCCAGATGCTGCTGATTTGTTTTGGACTAGTCTAGTTTTGTCGCTGTGGACTTTTGAATGCACTCGTTAAATGAATGGGGCTCATACGGCTAACGCACGTGCAAATGTGTTTTCCTGTCTCGGCGGCCATTTTGAAAAAGCCACAAAAGATGGGCGGAGATAGATGTGACTACGTCCGTTAAGGGTCTTTCTGAGTGGAGTTCGTGTTGTGTGTCTGTGTAGGTTTCCTCCGGGTGCTCCGGTTTCCCCCACCACTAAAAAAATGCACACTAGGTAAAAATACCAAGAGCATCAACATCTGGACATAGGTTCCCGGGCGTTGTTACTACGGCGACCACGCCAAAGGGGCATTGGGGTCAAATGCAGAGGACTCCTTTACCTTGAACTATAGTTGAATTCTAAACTATTCTGTGCATCTTTCTCCAATCTCACACTAACATCTGCAGCAGTGCTCTCCCGTCTGAGTCCTCTCTGAGTTATGATTTGATAGAAGCCACTGGACAGAAGGTTATTGATCTGTAACCTCTGGGCCAAATAGATGTGCTCCTTCTCCGGCCTCTCTGCTTTAGACTGATTGGTGTTTGCTGCTTTTCACCTTACTCCTCCACTTTCCTCATTGTAGCGTTCTGTCTTATTCAGCCGTGCGCAGTCATGCACAAAACTCCGGGCCAAGTTTGCTGAGCTTGTTAAAAACCAGGGAGAGTCAGAGATAGCCACACGACGGCTCAGCGCTACTGGCCTTTCATCTCCATCTTAAGGGAGAAGCATCCGGAAAAGCGGAGAACGTTTTTGATTATAAATAGGTGTATTAATATTGCTATGTATATGTGTGTTTGTATGTATGTATGTATGTATGTACAGTGTACTGTATGTATGCGTGTGTTTGTGTGTGTGTGTATGTACTGTATGTATGTACAGTGTATTGTATGTGTGTGTGTATGTATGCATGTATGTGTGTGTGTGTGTATGTATGTATGTATGCGTGTGTGTATGTATGTATGTGTGTATGTATGTACTGCATGTATGTGTGTATGTATGTATGTAATTATACATAGGTGTATTAATATTTGTATGTTTATATATGTATGTGTGTACAGTGTATGTATGTATATGTATATGTGTGTACAGTGTGTGTGTGTGTGTGTGTTTGTGTGTTTACAGTGCATGTATAGGCTTATTCGGAAGGGATTAGTATTACTTTGACCTCTGGTAATTTGTGATTATCACGGAGAACGTCTGAGATCTTAGTCCTGTGTGAATGCGCCATGTCTGTTATTTGTAAAGTAATAATTCCGCCGAAAATGACATATGTATGTATGTATGTGTATGTACAGTGTGTGTGTGTACAGTACATGTGTGTATGTAAGCGTGTGTGAGTGTGTGTATGCATGTATACAAACACATACACTATGTATGTGTTTGTGTACTATATTTGTGTGTGTGTATGTATATGTGTGAGTGTGTGTTTATGTATGTGTGTAAAGTATATGTATGATTCAAATAAACAGGTAGTTAGCGATCTAGACTTTCTTTTGTCTTTATGGATATTTATGTGTGTCTCATTTTAAAGAAAGGTCAATGTAGATGTTTGCATGAAGGTATCCAGTTTTTTTTATTTTATTTCGTATTATAGGTTTAGATATTACATATGAACTGTGCTATACAAATAAACGTGCCTTACTTTTCCTTTCCTGGAAACTAATTGTGTCAAAATTAGCTGAAACATTTCCAGGCCAATTTTTCAAAAACATTAAACATCAGACCAGATAAATCTTTCTTTTTGCTCCATTTCAACCTATTTCCTTCATAGTTTTTTTAATTTATTCACTGACTTTTTGTCATACTTTGTTCTTCTCGTCACAGTCTCTTCTGTATTCAGACTCTGTAGCATTAACATAGTCCTGTTCTGAGGCTGTGGACGTGGTGAGTGTGGTCCTGTAGCAGGGTCTGGGTTCTCAGCCCTTCTGTGTTCTCCGCCTCCCTTTGAAACTCCTCTTTCTTTGAAGACACTTGTCGCAGGTGGAGGAGTCTGAGAGTAATTACTTCAGCTCCTCAGACTCTCCTCCTCGCCCATTCTCGCCGTATATGAATGCATTTCAAATATTCATTTCCATTTCCATGCTTATTTCAGGATCTGGCCCCAGAGAGAACACCTGCCGTGCCGTTCTCTCTGTGTTTTTCCTATAACTTTGCCGTACTTCGACCTGATCGGAGACTACTGCAGGTGTAATTACTTTTGAGCATAAAAACTAGAAAGGTTCTGAAGTCAGTGGAGGGAAGAGGATTCACATAATGAGAGTGGTTTTAGGAGAGACTTTTTTTTAAACAATCTGTCCTTTACAGTGTCAGAATATGGCAAAAATGTGTCTTGAGAATGAAAAATACAAACAATAAGACTGATATGAAGTTTACTTAACTTTTCGTTCATTCATTTTTGCCTCAATCCCCTTGTTTATCACATAGACCAGTGGGCATGATTGACAGATGGGATTACCCAATTAGAGAGAGCTGCCTTCCAGCGCTGTTTTGTGCTCCTGTTTTAGGGATTTAATAGTTGCCACATGATTAAAAACAGATGAAAGAGAAGCAGAAAGCAGCGGATCAGTCCCAACGATCGCCGCTTACAGCATCTTTAAAGGAGCTATATGTAAACATGTGGCCAAAAGTGGTACTGCAGCCTCTCCCACTCTCCCTGACTCAGGTTGCCAGATATGCAGACGAATCCAGCTGGGACCATAACAGCTGAATAGACAAGAGTTTTGTCAACAGCAAATCTATAACCAACACCTTTTTCACAAAGATAGAAATCCTGGTTTTATTCCTTGTTTTGTCGTTAATGATTTGACAATCACATCTTTTTTAGCACTGCGCCACATGGTACTTTATCAGTGAGATTAGCTCCACGGGGTTAGTTCTGGCGCCCGGATCACAGACTTTCTGATTGGTGAAACGTGGAGGGCGGGACATCGAAAACAATTACAAGATTTAGGGGCCGGAAAAGTAATTTAGAAATTAAAATATCTCTGAACTACTGTTATCAGTTTAAGTATTGGAAAAGAGCAGTTTATTATTATTACTATTATTATTCAGAGGACAGGTGTTGTAAGTAAGGCATTGAATATGTTGGCCAAGGAAACCAACAGCTGTAATTTCGCAACACAAAGAAAGGTAAAGTTAAGTAAACCAGAGAAAACTTGTTAGATAATGCACTAAGAATTTAACACTTCTCTCATTCTCCAAAAAAGAACAATTGTAAAGGTCTTTGTGACTTTGGTCTGTGAAAGGCACGATATAAATAAATATTACTTACTTAATAATGTGATTTACCTTTTGGTGCTATAAAGATTCAAAACAATCTCCGGTTTGGATAATTCTCCAAATACACATATCTCCATCTGGTCCCCCCCGCAGTATCCAGGCCTGGTTCCCCCCCGCCCACTCTGCAGTATCCAGGCCTGGTGCTCGTCCACACTTCCCTCTCCTTTGAAGCGCTCTTTAAAATACTTGCCGCGGCCTGAGACCAGGTGGAGCTGGGACCAGGTGGAGCGGAGTCCAGGGAGGTGGGGTTAAGAACTCTTTTATTGCTGCAGTTTATGAAAGCCGTGTGAGGGAATGAGAGACCAGGCTTTGCAGATTTCAGGTGAAGATAAGTCCAGAGGTCCCTCCTTCCAAATTCCGCCTGGATAATGGAACACATTTGCCTGCAAGGAGACGTAGACGGGAGTAAATCTTCCAGGCATAATAATCCACTGTTTGGCCATTTAGCACCGAGGACAATAACTCATGAGCAGTTAAATATGCACTGCCCCGAATGGTTCTATCTCCTTATCTCTACATCCCACAGAGACTGGAGCTCCGTGACCTGCTCAGCAACCACAAACCACAAAAAACATGGAGGAAGACTGTGGGATAATGTCAGACATGTGCTGACGGAGAGCTCGGACCTCACTTTATCATTTTGTGTGTTTTCTGCCCCGGAGATTCTCCAGTGAACAGATATTTACAATTACATTTGTTTTTAACTCTAATAATGACAAAGAGAAAGGGACTGATAAGTTTCCCAGAGGTCTTCCATCACAGTGCTGACCAGGCTCGGTCCTGCTTGGCTTCGTCTTGTATCTGTTTGTTGTATGAATGTTAAAAAAAATAAAAATAAAAATATATGTATAAAAAATTGACAGAGGTTAAAAATACTCGAGAAAAAACTAAACTGTTTTAGAGAGAGCAACTTCAAGGATTTTATGACAAAGGTTTCTTGTGTTTTGAGAGTTCCACAACCCAAACCCAAACCCAGACCCAGTCCTCTCAGTCCTGTCAGTCCTCCAGAGGCAGCTCAGAGTCTGTGGAGCTCCTTCCTTCAGCAGTGATGGTCCGAGTTCTCCTGGAGCTTGTGGAGAACAAAAGCCCGTCATGAGTCAGTCCAGGACCTTCAGGGTCTTTCCACCTTCGGGGCCTCTCCAGCCTCTCCAAGGGCCCTTCGCTGTGTCGGTCACTCAAACTCAGCTGATGGAGCCAAGCTAGGGTTGGACTGTTTTTCTTTCACTTCATTTAAGGAAAGCAAAGCTATTTTCTTCGTCTCTTCTTTACTTTCACTTTTTGTTCGTCTCAAGAACCCTCCACCCTCGGTACTTTATTTTCTCATTTTCTTATGACTTCCACTTGCTCCCACTCTCCAATTACAGGCTGCTCTTTCATCTCTTCAGCCCAGGAATGAAGTGATAGGATCAGGAGGAAGAGTGAAGAAAGAAGCTTTGTTGAACTTACGTAGTGCTCTTTAATGCCCCACTCTGGCCCCTAATAACCCGGGGCCACAGGGTCATTCAGAAGATTCCACTGTACTCAATTTAATTATGTGGGAAATCACATTTTTAAAGGCCAGGGCAGAGAGTGGTGAGCGTTTCACTGTTTTCCTCCGGAATTTAAAAGATTCAAATGGATTCAGAAAATATAGATGTTTTCAAAAAGTTTTCAATTCTCCTTAAGGTTAAACATCAAAGGCCAAAGCTTTTTGTGACGGAAAATAGAGTTTGCTGCGTTTCATGGATGAAAAAGTGCACATTTGAAAGAGCACAGTTTTCAGATGGTCTGCAGCTGTCGTTTTTATTGTGTTTGTTGTAGAAAATTGGCTGTAAACATTAATTAAACAGTGGACAGTTAAAACGGCCATCCATTTTCTTCCCCTTAATCCATTTCTGGGTCAGGAGCTGTAAAACTAATTTTGAAATTCAAGTATCTCTGAACTGCTGTTATCAGTTAAACATGACAATGATGACAAATTAGGGCCCTTTAATGATAAATTGACATGAAAATCTTACATATTGCTACTTTAACCTTGACATTGAAACACAGAACATTTTTGGTTTGCTGAAATTTTAAAACCCTTTCATTGGCTTGTAAATCTGTTGGTCTAGAGCGGCTCCTGATCACTGTCTCCAATATAGTTTAGCATCAGGCAAAAAGATGCAAATCTCCATGGAGACGGATCTGCAGCCAGGACACACCCTCATAGACTCCCATTTACTCATTCCAGCAGAGTTTGAAGTCACACAGTCACGCTGTTTGCCGAATACAGAAGAAGAAGAACAGCCATTTTGGCGAGATGTGGAGCCCAATCCCTTACATTTTGTTATTGTGGGGCAACCTCCTGGGGCAGAAGTTTGTCCTGGAAAATGAAGGCCTCAGATTGGTTGATCGTCAGAGCTGATATCTGTGTTTCCAAAGATATCATTAAAACACCGGGATTACAGAAAAATTGTGATTTAGGGTTATCAAAAAATTGTGTGTGAGATGTGGACAATTACACAGAAATGGAGTTCACTTGGGGCGACAGTATCTCAGTTGGCAGAGCATTGGCTTTTGAGCCTGAATGTCGGGGGTTCGAGCCCACCACAAGACCTACTTCACGACTGTCGTTGTGTCCTTGGGCAACCCCACTTCGCCTGAAGCCCCCGCTGAAAGATCAGGGCTCCTGTGGACTCACCACCTGCAGGAGGATCAGTGAGGGGCTGGTGCTCTGTGTACTGGGTGCAGCTCTGACTGCCACCCCCCCGACCCAGAAATGGATTAAGTGGAAGAAGATGGATGGATGGACGGAGTTAACTTTTCAATATAACAATCCAACGCAAGTAAGAATAACACTTTGTCCATGAGCACCTCCCTTCATGACCTCATTAAGAGTTAGATGTACAAGTTATATGTAAATAAGTCCCTCTCTGCTTCCCTTCTGCTCCTCACATGTTACTTATTTTTCTCCGTACTCACAGTTCAGTCACTTCATAGACTGTGACATCATAACTTTTCCCATTTCCTTTTTAACCAGTTTGTGTGGGTTCTCTGAGGGCCCCTTGCATTGTCAGGGCCTTTCCCAGGAGCGGCCCCTGCAGAGTGAGTGTAATTAGGACAGGTGAATGGGGCAGGGGCCGGACCACAGTGGGGCCTTGTTCTCTTCTGTAACACTGCCCATTGTCACCGTCTGAGGCTCAGAGAGAGAGACTGAGTCAGGAAACGGATCAGGGGAGGGCCATTTAATTAGACTTACTATAATTGAGTATAATGCAACTGTAATTGAAGATTTGCTACAAGTAAGGGATGGAATTGGATCATGGATCGTTCACACAGAAGGGAGGGGGGTGCGCCGTGTCACCCTGAGTTTATGGACTATGTATAAGAAGTAAATATATCATCCCAGAAATGAAATATTATTAAGATTTGGGGATATTTAGGACCATAGATCCACATTATCTTTACACATTAATACTACTTGTTCATGTGTTTTGTATTTATTTATTTATTTTTGTAATTTTTGTTTTAGAATTTATTTTTATTTTTACTCAGTCATTGAAACGTGTAATTCTGCTTTGTTACTTGTATCAAAGCTTTTGTTTCATTTTAATATTTTTAGCATTTTTTTTGCAAGTATTTTGGAAGAGTTTGGGAGGACAATGGAGCAAGTTTGTTTTGTGTGTGTCCTGCGGTGTTGTTAGTTGTAATACGTGTTTTGTGTTTATGGACCCCTCAAAAATTAGATGGCACAACTCAAGGAGGATTCCATTAATAAAATAAACTCAACTAAACTAAACAAATATCAAATGGAGGGAGTCAGAGATGCAGAGTGCTGTATCAAAAACAAAAAGCAGAGCCTGGGTCTGGGGTAAGCAGCGAGAAGAAGCAAATATTTTATGAATGACGTCAGTGTCTTTCTACATGTATCAGGGCAGAGATAACATGATGATAGATGAATAATGAAATTATGAATGAAAGGATTAGAAGCACGGACGGAGGTGTGTTTAGCTCCAAGCTCCTGGAATCAGCTCCTCATTCTCCTCAAGGAAGCAAAAAGTCTCTACATCAAGACTAGGAGTCATGTGGGGGGATGAAGGTAAGGACCCAAAAGGCAAAAATGCAAAAAAAGACAATTTAATGTTAAATAAACCAATGTCCAAAGGGAAAAAAACACTAAAAAGGAACCAAACAGAGATCAAGAACGAAAACAGACGTGGAATGACAGTGACGGAACAATGAGTGAAGGAACACATGGGGCTAAACACAATACTAACAAGACACGGGTGAGACACATGAGGACAGGGAAGTTCATCAAACAGGAAGTACAACCAAAGAACACATGGGTTAACACATTTCAAAATAAAACAGGAAATAAACCTATACCATGACACGAGGCTTCAGTCAAAAACACAGATTGTCAGTGAAGCGGCACATAAGACTCTGGGAGACGTAACGTGAGCACTATCTGTCATCCTTATGAGTTCAGCTCTAGTCTGTTCATTGCTATTCACCCGCTGTCCCATTGTCCATTTCCTGCTGCGATGATGAGACCCCAAAAATGATGCAGGGGGGTCTAAGGACAACGATGATCAGGGATATTTAAAGACATTTATTCACATTTATAGCTCCTTAATGGCTCGCACTGTGTGTGTTTGTTCTTATTGTGTTTGAACGGTTTAATTCTTTGATCTGTTTTTGGTGAAGTCTCTGAGAAAACAGATGTTGTTTACTTATGGCTCTACGTCATGTCAAATGTCTGGAAGAAAAGGTGTGTCTTCAGGAGAGATTGTAAGTGTTGGAGTGAAGGTGGTAATGAGCGACGGTCAGCCGAGGTCTGACCACAGAGAAGGCTGAAGAACTACAGCAAGACATATGTTCTATTCCCATCAACAACACCCACTGACAGATTTCTCTCAAACATTATTGTGGACTTAAATCCACCTTTGTTTGCAGGGCAAGGCAACACACAGTGCTTCACAACCAACATGAGGCATCAATCAAAAACATAAAAATCCTGTAAACAAACAGGGAGAATAGGAACATCCAAGTTAAAATCACAGGAAATTAAACAAACATAAGATGATAAATAGTCACAGTACATTAAAAAGAGTAAAGAAAAAATCAACAGAACTGTCTTCAACCTGGATTTGTAAACTGCCAGAGTAGACGCCTGTCTCACATTGTCAGGAAGACTATTCAAGATTTTAGCAGCATGAATCTGTAACGCTGCCTCCTCATTATTACACCTGACTCAGAGTCCCAGCAGGAGGCCAGTCCCTGTGCTCCTCGGAGTTGGTTTATATGACACTAACATGTCACAGAGGGACTTTGAGACCGTGAAGAGACTTGTAATAAACAGAGCTGTTTTAAAGTCTATTCTCTGAGACCGAGACCAGGACTAATGTGATGGTACTTCCTGGTTCTAGTCAGGACTAATGTGATGGTACTCCCTGGTTCTAGTCAGGACTCAAGCTGCAGCGTTTAGAACGTACTGCAGCTGTTGTACAGTTTGGTGAGAACGGTGAGCAGCTGTCACAGTCAAACTGACTGGAGGCAAATGCAGGATAACGATCTCCACTTTGGGTCAAGGGCATTTCAGACTCCTGTTTGAATCCAGCCAGATGCACTAAAGACCTGTGAAACAATAAATCTGTGAATGCAGATGGCCCAATTGTCATCTGCAAACATGGAAGCATTGGTCGTTTCCTCTGTACATGCCCATCTTTGAACCCCCGGCCCCCGCCGTCTCTGTCTGCAGCCTCTTCTTCCAGTCTATTTTTCTCTGGTGCATGGAGCTGCTACAGGCAAGATAAGGCTGGTCTCCCCGAGTTAAGGCTTAGCATAATCCCTCATCCTTCTTGAAAAAAAAAGTAACTCAGGCTCTTCAACACATGGCTGAAGAAGGGAGGAGGAAATAGACAGGAAGTTGGGAGATAGGAAGCACAAATGGGGGAGGTGAGACGGGTGTAGCGTTGGTACCAGTAAGTCTTTAGACGGAGCACAATGGCGAGAAAAGAGGAGGAACCGTTCTGCATTGGCGGAGATCAGAGTCGAAGCTAATCCGTTGACAAGGGGTCTATGGGAAACCCAATCCCCCACACCCAAAAGGCCTGGCATGGCTAAATCTGGCAACCCAACTCAACTTCGGTGACAGACAATGTGCCGAAAGCAGTCGCCAAACTGCCTCGTGAACAAACTGGCAGCGGAGGTTCAAAGATGGGCTAGCTGCTCTCTGCCGT